TTCATTACCCAACTAGATAATATCATCAATGATAATGTACACTGATGATTTTATCTACTCTTGCAATGACATATCTTCAAGCAAACACCCAGATCAGAACACCAAGGAGTCCACAGTTTGAGGACTGTGAGCTACCGATATTCTCTTCTATTTAAAGATTCATTTGATTTTCAAATCAAGAATAAATGATTTCCCTTTTCTCTTTCTTTATCCTCTGAAGGACAAATCTATCAACAAGACAGGTCAGGAATTGGTAATGTTTGTCTCCCAGTAGATGTTGGGGTAATTGAAGGCTCACCATCATTATTATGTCATCTCTTTTTGAAAGATCTGCAACTTGGTTTTAGAAAGCCTGGTCTTTGTATTTTCCTTGGCTCGACAAGCAAAGTAAAGAGTAACAACAGTATCATTTTATTTGTTGGATTTGGGTCCAGATCTTTTCTTGTTATATGTTCCTACTTTTAGCTGACAATGTTAGAAGTGAGTAAATATTGGATTAGGTGGTCTCAGTAGAAATTGGACCAACAAATGCTGGCTATTTTTCTCCTTCATTCTGTATTTTTGCCAGGCAGAGAGCTTCAGCCAGATTACTAGCACAAAAATAGAGTATGGGACTATTTGCTGCAAATGGAGGAAAGTGGTTCATTAATTATGTGTAGAGAGTAACGAAGATGATCTTGACAGATAGGCCAGATTTATTACCAAAGCAGCAAGGGAAAAACATGGGTTAAATCCAAAACAAGAAGTGGTGTAAAAGATTCAAGCAGGCACCTCCCTAATTCACACAAGTATGAGGGGAAGTGAGAAGTAATACTCAGTCTGACTTGCAGGATTCTGTTATTTTACCAAGTAGTTCTAGCCTTTGAGAGAGTTAATTTCTTAGTCTGGCCTACACAATGGGGCTGACATCGCAGGAGTGGCTTTAGTAAAACACATGATGTTGTCTTCAGTAAAAAAGAAAGTTAGTATGAACATTTAGACCAGGCCTTTCCAACCCACATGTGGCCTTGGATAGCTAGTGATGCGGCCCCACAAGATATAATAAAAAGTATTAAAAAATAAAGGAAGCTTGTTATTTGTATTACATTAACTATATTATATATTTTATAAATGGCCTAAAACAATTTCTGTTCACTCAGTGTGGCCCAGGCAAGCTAAAAGGTTGAACCCCCAAGATGCTCACCCTGAAACGCTCTGATTCTCAGGCCGTGTTCTGACTTAGGCTTCACAGACTCCTTGTCCCGACAAAGCCCCTTTTTATTAGGCTAATGTGAATTCCTATCATTCACACCCAGCAAAGTCCCAGCAAACAGTCTTTCGAGGGTGAATTACAACCACAGACCTTATCAGTCTTGGAGAGTTGCCAGGCCGATAGCTTCCAAGCGCAATGCTGTACCAGAAAATACTTGGCAAGAAGTCACAAACAAATGTTCACCCTAATGAAATGAGCTAATTATCTCCTGCAAACACCACTCCCCTTTCGGTCCTCTTTATTTGCTATGGGAGAGATCATTCATCATCCACCTGTGCCTTTACTCCCAAGTCGATCCTTGTTCCTCAACTGTTCCCTTCTCCTGGCAGCTCTGTGCATGCACACATTGGGAACAGGCTCCAGCTGTTCTTCTGCCTCACTGATCTCTGACTCTGAAGGCAGCTGATAACTGTCAGATGGCCCTGGGCCCATCTCTGCCTCCGACATAGAGCACTTGTCAGAGTCTTCCCAGACTCCAGGACTGGCCCATATTCCTCCCCAACCTCCTCACTGTCTAAGTCTGTTGCCAGCTCCACTGGCCACTGGCAGGCCACAACAAGCTGATGGATATGAGAGAGTATCTTTTTTTGGATTTATTTTATTTATTTTTTATTTTGTTAAATTCACTTGCCACCTATCTCATCATGGCGCTATTCTAGGCAGTTTACAATAATAAAGAGGAAAATGAAAAGACTTGTAAACAGATGATAATAACAATGATGTTATCCATTGAGTTGTATCTGACTTTTGGGCCAGATCACTCCATGTCTTCCAATCTTGCGTTACTTCTTTGAGTTTTTCTATGCTCTGGCTGATGTCGGCTTTGATGGTGTCCAGCCATCGTGTTCTTTGATGGCCTGGTGGGTCTTTTACCCTTAACTCTTCCCAACACAATTACTTTCTCCAATGAGTGTAAACAAAACAGAAGTAAAATAATAGAACAATAAAATACAGCAATAATATTTAGATTTATATGTCACCCCATGGTGCTTTACAGCACTCTCTGGGTGGTTTACAATGTCAGCATTATTTACATATTGCCCCCAACACTCTGAGTCCTCATTTTACTGACCTCGGAAGGATGGAAGACTGAGTCAACCTTGAGCTGGTCTGGATCAAACTGCAGGTTGTGGGCAGAGTTTGCCTGTAATACTGCACTTAATCACTATGTCAGCAGGGCTCCATACATTAGTATAATAGCTAAACAAAAATTGGATGGGTGGAGAGCAGAAAACAAGGAGGGGAAATGGACTCTGCCTTCAATCCAGCAGTCACTTCCAGTGTGGAACTCCCTTATTTGGTCCCCAGGCCAATCAGCAAAGCCGGGTCTTCAGGCTCTTGCAGAAAGATAGAAGGGTCTGCTAATAAGGCTTTACTAATATCCTGATCCTGAATCTGAAATGTGTATTTCTATGCTATGTCTATAATTACTCTGGCATTTTTTTGGCTTAAAATATTTCTTCTTTCCAAGGCAGTTATTCAAGATAACTGTCTTAAAGATTAAAACTGGTAGAAATGCAATCACTGCAAGTGAAAAATGTACTCTGTCAAAACCTTAGCAGCAGACCCTGACCAGGGAAACAAACCTTACATGGAGTTTCATTAATCAGGTTTAGCATCAAGAAAGAAATAACCTGTTTTCCTGAAAATAAGCCCTAGCATGGTTGTTTTTTTATGCAGGCACCTAATATAAGCCCTACCCCTCCAAATAAGCCCCACTTAAGCACCTGCGCAGCTGGGCACCCACCAATTCCATTTGGTTGCTTGTGATGCCAGCAATGCGAGGCAACGGGTGGTGGAGCTGCCCATGCACTGGCTTACCTCAGGGACCCCACAGCCAGGTCATCCATGCCCCAACATCTGCCTCACGGTGGCAGCACTAGCAGCCATGTGCAGCAGGCACCCATGTGGCCATCGTCTCACTTCTTCTGCTTGCTTGCAGCCGCAGGTGTGGGGATGTGGATGGACTGGCTGTGGGGGCCCTGAGGTCAGCCTGTGTGGGGTGCATGGGGAAGCTCTATCACCTCCTGCCTCGTGGTGGTGGCACTGATGCACTGCATGGCCTTCTTCCCCACTGCAGGCAAGCAGAAGAAGTGGGCCTCACAAACATGGAAAACAAGTAAGACAACCCTTGAAAATAAGCCCTAGTGTTTATTTGGGGGCCCAAAAGAAAATAAGACCTGGTCTTATTTTGGCGGGGGGGAAACACGGGTAGTTAGAATACAGGATGTTGGAAAGTGAATAAGCAAAATTCCACTTACATTCATTAGCAAATGCATTCAGGTGGTGTCTCAGAATTGCTTGAGCTTCTTTTTCTTTGAATTCAAAACTGAAGAGCTCATGCCATTTTCGCCCAGATAAAGCTGACACTGGAGCATCTCTCTCTCTCTCTCTTTTTTTTTAGTCATGTTTTGAAATATCCTCTTTTGTTTCTCAGCCTCAGTAACGTTCTCTGCTTGGTCTCAATGAGGTGCCAGTCTTTGGAAGCTTTGCTTGGTTAGCCATGGATAAAATAACTTCCCTCTTGCCTGCCACTCAGAAATGCTCCGACTCAAAGTTGGCAGCAAAGTAATCTCCAAAGTAATTGGCGTTCTTAGGAAAACAGTGTTAGGGCAGGCAACTAAAGGCTCTTCAGGTATTTTGAATCTCAATTTCCATTCATCCCTGAATACTGCTCCCCGATTGGAGAAACCGAAAACACCAAGAGAACGTTAGGTGATGAATTCCTCACAGTATTTCGGCCACAAAACCTGATCAATGCGCAAGGGAAACATGTTTTTGTGCCTAATTCCTTTTCAGTAAGAAAATAAATTATGATTTTTGCCAATGCATTTGTGTGAGAAAGAGTGCTCTATAATACAGTTAATCCTTGATTGATGATCACAATCGAGCCCAAAATTTCTGTTGCTAAGCAAGACAGTTAAGTGAATTTAGCCCCATTTTACGACCTTTGTTGCCACAGTGGTTAAGTGAACCACTGCAGTTGTTGAGATGGTAACACAATTGTTAAGTGGATCTGGCTTCACCATTGACTTTGCTTGTCAAAAGGTCACAAAAAGCAATCACATGATGCTGTAAATACGTGCCACAAGCACATGACCCTATAAATACGTGCCAGTTGCCAAACATCCAAATTTTGATCAAAGGGATGCTGCAACCATCATAAATGAGAAAAATGGTCATAAGTCCCTTTTTCCAGTGCCATGTAACTTTGAACGGTCACTAACCAAAAGTTATAAGTTGAAGGCTATGTTTATATTCTTACATGAAAGATAATAACAGTCGCAGGAACAGTACTAATATAGTCAATACCCTTCTTTGACTAAGGGGCACAAGTACAAAAAATGAAGGGGGTGGCAGCAGCATTCTTTTTGTGGTCCCCAGAGTCTTCCAGAATAGATAGGCCCCGCAATTTAGATCACCTCTTTGTCTTGTTTGTGCTTAGCTCACCCATTTCACTCTTTAAATTGCTAGAGCCGTTCAAAATGGACTTTGTAGAAATACGCATCTCGTCAGGCTACATCAAGTCCGGAGTATCCTTGATAAACTTTGTGCAACCGTAGGGTGCAACCATTCAGGCCCATAAAATTGCAAACTCGGATAGCTCCTGGTTCATATCACTACCCACACATCCCACTGCCATTCCTGTGTGAGGTGCTGGAGGTGTGCAGGATAGAACATGGCACAACAGCTAAAAACAGCCTTTCCTTCTCTTATCTCCTAAACTCGCTCTAATTCCTTTTCTCAGCTATCCACTGCAGCCTCAGTCCAAATGGTATCGATCTCTCTGTGTGTACTGAAGGAATTAGCCTGCAACTTGAAGATGAGAGAGTGGAACCAACCTCACTTAAGAAAGAAACCTCTAAGTTGCCCGAGTTGAAAGAAACTCTCCAAAGACGGCCTTTGGAGTCAGAAGCATCTAAGGTGGGTATTACTATACCTCTTTCTTTATTCTTTGCCCTTTTCTCCCAATATTTGTAAGTTGCTCTATAATTCAGACTCTAGACCAGTGGTGGGATTCTACCGGTTTGGCCCAGTTTGGCTAAACCGGTAGTAAAAAATGCTACTGTTTGGCTGAATCGGTAGTAAAAAAACAGCTCAGGTGAACCAGTATTTCTTTTTTTCCTCCTGACGATTAGCTGTTCCGATGATCAGCTGTGCCGGGATCCCCCTCTCTGTCTTTCTGCTTTGCCCAGAAGGCTTCCCTGAGGTCCAGGAGACAAAAAAAAAATTAGGGGGGTGCTGCACAAAAGAAAAAGAAAAAGAAGAAGCCATGCCCACTGAGTCACATGACCATGCAACCCTAGTCACTCCCACCTAGCCACGCCTACAGAATCGGTAATAAAAATATTTGCATCCCATCCTGCTCTGGACTGTATACAAGAGGAAAAAAACAAACAAACCCAAATCAGGTTAAAACTCACAATATGTAATCAAAATAACGGATGGTCACCCGCAGTCACCCCAACTTAATGCTTGACCTGAATGGTCTTCAAAGCATTGCAAAATGCATGGAAGGTCAGGGCTAAAAGAAAAAGCCTGTCCCAGAATACAGGTGCTACTCCCCAAAGCATCAACCATCCGGCTGATAGCTGAAGATACTTCCTGTGGCACTGGGATCTTCAAGCAGGCTCTCTCTAGATCAGACGTGGGGATTGATGGCCCCTTTATGACTTGTGGACTTCAACTCCCAGAATTCTTGAGCCAGCATGGCTCAGGTCATAAAAGTCATAAAAGGGACATTGTTCCCCACCCCTGTTCTAGATCTGGGCTGGATACGACTCATGGGGTGCTTAGATCTGGCTCACGGGGCCATTCTGGAGACAGCCAAGGATCCGCTTGCGGTGCCCCTGCCAGTGAAAACAGAGCTCCGGAGGGCTGCACATGGCCCTCCTGAGCTCAGTTTTCACTGGCAGAGCACACAGGCCACCACAAGCGCCCCCAACATGAGTGACGTTGAGCTGGCTACATCTACCCTTGGCCACACCCCCTGCCCCCCCTGAGTTCAAAACAACCCTGCTCTACTTGATTGGGCAGGACAAGCAGAATCACATTTTGCCATGTAGTTCCAGAGCCATCTCAGTACCATCCCATATTCAAAAGAGGTTTATAACTAACTAACTAACCAACATTTCAGAGATTGGTTCAAGTCTAGTGCAGAACACGCACACCTTTCTTATTCATTCCAGGGGTCTCTAGGGGAAAAAAAATCCTGGATGATTAGAATTCTAGAGACAAATTGGTTAGATCTGCTCAGTTGCAGGATGATCATAGGTCATACTGATCATCTTCTTTACTTTTTATACATTGTATACAATTATTTAAAAATTATTAATGGTCTATTTTTAAATAGCCTAGAAAAGTGAGAATTTAAAAAGAGAAAGAAAAAAAAATCCTATTAATGTTTTTATAATCACAAATTGGGATGGCAGTATTACAAAGGTGTTCTTTCTTGGCTTTTTCATCCAAAGGTGGACATAACATTAAAAAAGAACCATTTCAATTCACATTAAAATAAGTGTTATATACTAAACAAATTAACTGTCAGGCATGTAAGACCCAGTCCATATGTGAAGCTTCAATTAACCTGATTTATTACAAAAAGCTTATGCACAGGAACCTTCTCAACTAGCACTCTGCACCTGCTAAGTTAGATAAGGGTTAATAACGCTCAAAGGGGTTGGACTTAGTTCTTTTATGGCTACGCAGGGATTTTTTACTCTGCCCCCAGGTTTTGCCATCTCTTTCCCCAAAATTATATAGCTGCCCATTTACCCAAAGGAACTCTGGGCTGTGATGTCTTGGAAACTGGCTGCCAAATGAAGCAGTTGGGTTGGCACATGACACTGTCTCGTGCCTTACTTAACAGACTGCAATAGCCTATGCTTGCACAAAACATCAAGCCATAAAATCCTCATTCTTCAATCCCTTAGAATCAAGGAATGGAACCATAGATGCCTTCATCATCTGTTATGTCTGGGTTCAAAATTTTCCATCTGAATTGAGATGGGCAGGATAGAAAAGAAATTAGTGCTTCAGGGTAGATTTTGGCATCAATTTTTCCATTTAGCCACCCTAGGACAAATCAACCCAATAGGGCTGTGGCAGGGAGGATGAGGAGGGTTAAATGGGATTAAAAATCATCCATTTCATTTTTTAATTCTCTCCATCCTATTTCCCACTCCCCCAACCAAACAACTCAACAAACAAACAAAATATTGTTTTAGCTTTACTCCTTTCCATAAATGCTCTGGGGCTACAGAAAGTTGCTAGGAGCTTGTAAATTCTGTACCTCATCTGGAAGGAGGGTTATGCAGTGCTCCAGATTCAAAGGCAAAAATTGGCTTGTTGGCAGCTCCTTAAACAAAATGTTTCTTTTCCTGGGTCCCTGTTGTGGCTGCAGACCTCAGATGAATGACCTCAAGACAAGGCATAGCTGCTCTGAGTAGCTACTGGCAGATGTTAAGGTCTATCACTATGTGCTCCAAAACACCTTTTCTCTTTGAATTTGGAGGAGGACTGAACAGCTCAATGATAAACCAAGCCTTAAAAAAAAAAAACCCACAGCATCTGGGGCCAGGCAGCCTATTAAGCCCAGGTTGAATTATTTAGATGATAGCTTAGCACACCAAGTGAATTCAACTGAGTTGACTGGGCAAATAATCCTATCTGATTTAAGCCTACTATCTTAGTTACTGGCAATGACTGAAACTGCTGTGAGCATCATTCCTTACCCTCCATTCTGCTGGAAGCTCAATATTCAGAAAATGTGTCGTCATTCTCTGTGTAGAAGAGAATACTTTCATTTTAAAATTTTATTTAAGAGTGACTTAAAAGCAATGCTAAGAGGTCTTACAGTAGCCCTTTTTGTAGCCTGCCAGTTCCTAAAGATATCAGATGTTGGTTCGCAATTGTCAACTTCAGGGGTCTCCCACTGTGGCAACTTTAAGGCTTGTGGACTTCAACTCCCAGAATTTCTTAGGGAGTCATGTTGGCTGAGGAATTCTGGGAGTTAAAGTCCACAGCCCTTAAAGGTGTCAAGTTTGGAGACTCCCTGGTCTACTTCAAATATGCTTTTTCTCAAATGCAGGTAGTCCTCAACTTACTATACAATTGAGCCCAAAATCTCTGTTGCTAAGCGAGACAGTGAATTTCTCCCCATTTTATGACTTTTCCTGTCTCAGTTGATAAATTGATAAGTCACCCAATGTTCAGGGGTGTCAAACTCACATCCTCATGGCAGCATCACATGATGTATTGGGACAATTCCCCCCTTCGCTAACTCCGGCATGGGTATGGCCAGTGTGTGATGTTTCCGGCCTGTGAGATGGGAATTTGCCAGCCCTGGGTTAAGTGAATCTGGCTTCCCCGTTGATTTTTCTTGTCAGAAGGTTGCAAAAGGGGATCACATGATCACATGGGACACAGCAACGGTCATAAATATGAACCAGTTCCGAGCATCTGCATTTTGATCACATGACCATGGGGGTGCTGGTTGTAAGTGTGAAAAACTGTCATAATTCACTTTTTTTCAATGCCGTTCTAACTTTGAATGGTTACTAAGCAAACTATTATAAATCGAGAACTACCTGTATGTGCTTTCTGCTTCGGTTTCCCTTTCTTATGAACTCACTTTCTTTAAGAGAGACAGAGTGCGTCTCCCTTACATACAGGCCTTATTATGAGAAAAGGCACAGTAGAGAGTGATGAATGTACTTGCATGCTTCAGTCCAGTAATTAAATCTCTTTAAGGGTTTAGTGCTGCTATTCATTACACCTGAGCAACAGTTGCAGAAGGTTGTCATTGGGGAGAAAATCATGCCAAAAGATTATTATTCTCTGCTTTTCCTCTTGTAATTGGCTTGACACTGAGCACAGATGGGTTTGGGGTTTTTTTTTTGCTTAAGAGTCGTAAACATGTTTTACACTGATTTACTGACACCTCAGCTGATTCTTTTGCTAATATCAAGTGTCAGTTAACAACGCTGTCTACATTTATCAACTTGGTTCTCGTCATTCTCCATTCATCTCCTTCCATTATGACCAAGAACAGGAACTGAACTTATAAAGCATCTTGTCTTTTTCCCCTGTGGAATCCAGGATGTATGGATATTGTGAGTTGTGTGAGGAAACTAATCTAATAATATTATGCAATACTGCTTCCTGTTTCCTCCATGGAAATGAAATGCAGATGTTGTTGTCACATTTAGAAGTTCTGTGGAGGAGTGGAGAAGGGTATTCAAGAAAGTAGACAATATCATTTATGGTTGCAATCAACGATTCCCATTTTCTATTCATTGTAGTTTTGTGTTCTTATTTGTTCAGTGTTTGGAATAAGAAAGCACATGATTATAGTCACACTGAAAATGGAAAAATCACGTCTGAGTAGATTTATCCCTTATTGGCCTGATGTTATCCAAATATCACATTTAGAAAATAAACTGCTATACTTTAAAGGTACTTCTGATAAGCGTCCAATTATTCTACATATCAATTTCTTTTCATCTATTGCAAATCATGTTTAGGGCTACGTTTCATTTCTTAGGTTATATAATCAGCTCATCTTTTAGATACATGTACAAGATATTTATCTTGTTAAGAAATGCTGTAATAATTTGATTGCTTCCAAGAAAGAATGAAAAGAATCCATACCAAGAACTTTCTTATGGGTTTGTACAAATCTGTATTTCTTATAGCTCAATGGGGTACAGTATTATATATGGTAATTCAGGTACGAAAGTTCTGTACTAAAATTGAATTCCAAACCCCAAAGGATTTGTGCTCATTGTAGAGTAAATGCTGGCATAATTGAGTTTCTTTTATATTGTCCGTTAAAGGTAGAATTAAATTTCTCCTTTAAAAAGTAATTGCTGCATTGTTATTATAACTCAGCCAAAGGCAAATTAATCTCAAAGTGGGGGATT